CTAGACAAGCCCCTCGAACTCGTGGTACAAATAAGATTCTTTGAATATTGGTAATATAGGCTCACTGCTTTTTTTGATCATGTATTCAATTTAAGGGTCTACTGGGCTTTAGCTGTGATTGTTGAACTATCCCCATGAGAGCACAGTGGCAGCTGTGACCTAATTTATCTAACATGCCGTCGGGAGCCAAAAGGCCTTGAAAAACTCGCCGAGCTATTGTGAGCGCTGTACAGCACAACTCTCATGAAATAAATCCGATAACAAAAATAGGATAGATTTTCGAAAAGAACCAAGACTTTTCATGTACAAAAGAAAACGCCTTGCGCAATTGGAGATGCTGAGAATAGAATCGACTGTACCCGGGCTTCGACGGTGATTAGTCAAGGCCAGACTTGTTAAGATTATGAGCACATATGGGTTGAATCTCTACCTTGGAAGGATGCTATATGTGTTCGTAGAACACCAACGTAGATATAGAAAAGACTTGTGTTAACTGAGGAACGCTTGTATTCAGATGACTTTTGCTTGCTCCTACCGCTAGGAGATAAATCTCATAATATACATGTCCTAGATAGCCGTATCACAGTTCCTAAACTATCCAGTACATTCCATTCTACTCTATACTATTCGATCCCATACCATTCCATTACAGCACTATGATGCCCTAATTATGGGTTGCCCTCAAGTCCATGTCCTTGGACTTGCATGAAATATTGGCATGCATAAATCTGCACAGATCTGGGATCTCTTGGCAGATTATAACAAGACTCTCTCAGACAAGGGAGCTTAAAAGTAATTGAGTTACAGACTTGTTGCCTCCGCAGGAACAAGTCAAGGAAGGATGTTCACAATAGAATATATGGTGCTGAGGACGAAAATCACCGTGTCCACTTCAGCACTGAGTACGATGTCCAAAATTATGGCGAGGGCTCGACTCTCGTCAGGAGGCTTCTTGGCAGACCGGCCAAGACGGTGTTCCACCGCACCATCCAACCATGACGATGGTTACAGTGTCGCCTGCACTCTCGCAACCGAAGCCTTGACACGCACAAAGCTCAATTTGTAAAAAATCCTTGCCAAAATCTGGAATCATGCCCGTCGAGACTGTATCCATCCTGTGCATCATCCTGTCAACTTGTCATGGTCCCTCTCACGTCCATCCCAAAGAACTGTCTCAAATATTTGTGCGCCACGCTTCGCTTTCTCCGTCGGGTGTAAATATCGGCGTAGGCGTGTATTTGCCGACCAGCTGAGGCCGGAGAAAATCGACAAGAGGTGTGGTCATTGGGATGAGGATGTACTAGGTCGTACTTGTAAACTTGATGAGGCCCAGGTAGGAATCGATTTCTTTGGGTGTGAAAGATTGATATGGTGGAGTATTTTGAATCATTGCCTCGCGGTCCAACTTGTTCGTTATTGCAAAATTTGACTGAACCTGGCTTTGGCAGAATAATTTGCTCCCAGGTTGTTATGACTAGGTCATGAGCAAATATAGAATGGCGTATAAGCTAGCGATAACAGCGAATGAGCAGAAAGAGATAATCGGACACTGAGAATGTGAGACATGTTGAAAGATAATTATTCTAGGTCCTGTAGATAGAACTGTCTTGTCTTGTTCATTTAAGTGCTAGGTAAAGTGATTCCCGTTGCACTCGTACTGGAGCTTAAGTACGGGTGGGGCCGGGCTGGATCAGGTTAACTACCATTAAGTACATCTACCTCGTCCCACCTAAATGACCGGACCACCTCAGACTTCACCCATGTGTAGAATCATGTCAAGCCCAACCGTCCATAATCCCGCTGTATGTAGGGCGCAGCGCAAATTCCTCCTCAGCCTCGGCCACCACGCGCCCGAGCCCTTGACACCTTCTTTTTTTTTTTTTTGCATCAGATTTTAATTGCGTATGCAGCTATCTAGCTATGACACAATATCAGAGAAAAGTACAGAAAAGATGACTCAGTTTATAATAGGAGCACTCATGCCTCAGATTTCATTTGCAAGTACCACTGCGAAGTTATGGTGGCTTTTTCTTCACCCCAAGTCAACCCTCATCCGTGAATACCCACCCAGGGGAACGTCTCAAAAACCCTGAGTTATCCAGACATGCCTCCGTCATCCATCAACTTTTCTCCGCGCGAAATGTAATCTGAGATGTCTCCTTCCCAAGTGGAGTGGGTGCCCAGGCTACTCAAACCATACCAGAGAACATCACCAGGAGGCGGACCACAACACCTTCCATCGTTTGCTTGTTTTTATAGTGTCAGCTGCACTCTCGCAAGCGAAGTCTTGGCGCGCACAAAGCTCAATTCGTAAAACTCTTGCCAAAATTCAAAATTCCACGCCCGTCGAAAACGTATCCCTCTTCTGCATCATCTTGTGAACTTGTCCTGATTCCTCTCACGTCCATCCCAAAGATCTATCTCCCAGATTTGTGCTCCACGCTTTGCTTCCTCCGTCGGGTATAAATATCGGCGTGGGCGTGTATTTGGTGACCGGCTGAGGCCAGAGAAAGTCGACGAGAGGTGTGGTCATTGGGATGAGGATGTACTAGGTCGTACTTGTAGACTTGATGAAGCTTAGTTGAGAATCGGACTCTTTGCGAGTGAAAGATTGACATGGTGGAGTAATTTGAATTTTTGCCTCGTGGGCCAACTTCTTTGATATTGCGAAATTTGACTGAACTTGGCTCTGGGAGAATATTTCACTCTCAGGTTCGTAGAGGACACCGCGTACAGGTGTTCAGTCTTGCCCTCCCCTTGACACCTTCGCTGTCTGTAACTTTTCCCTTCGATTCATTCGCAGCCTTGGCTCATCTCATCATCTCCTCATCTCATCCAGGGGTCGTTTTCTTCACTGGAGGCCTCATCCAGTCGCCCACCAAGGCCTCCTCAGTTTTTGTTCCCTTTTAGTTCCTTATGAAGGACATAGTGTTGCACGGTAAGTTTATCTTGACGACTAGGTCGATGCGCAGTCATCAGGCATTAGCTTGGTACCAAGGTGACTTGCACATTTTTCAACGAGAATTGCCAACGAATATGTGGTACCCACTAACAAGTCTTGATGATACTGTAACTAATGGTGTTGATATCATGCCAAGTTTATCCAGAGTCAAAAATCTAGAGCCTCTCTTCAAAAAATTGATCTTTCATCCACTACCGGATCGTCTTCCGACTACTCAAGTATCCCACCCCAATAGCTTGCATAACAACGACTATACTTCAAGCGATAGAGCGTCCCAGAATGTGATAAGCATTCGCTTTACCTTACTTTCTCTGTTTGATGCGCATGGCGAAATAGGCCAGGCCAAAAATATGGTCCAAAACTATATACTATCACCAGAGTGAGGAGAGTGGCCCGCAGAATTGGTCATTCCCTAGCAATCAAGCTGGATTTTTTCATCTCTATACAAAGCACCCCGGGAAGATAACTTTGGAATACTATCGATATTAAGAATTCAGCGGCTTCTTTTTCTTTTGCATCACATTTTAATTGCGTATGCAGCCATCTGTAAACTCTAGTAATTACGTAGGCAGAAACCAGTTTAGTTAGAATCTTTCACTACTATACTTCTAGCTTTATTCAACAAATATTGTTCCTCAGGTGAGTAGTCTAAATCTGTGAGGTATAGTAAGTATTTCAGTCCGCTTTCCCGCTAAACTTACTACGTTTTTTGTAGAAAATTAGTCGAGTTGGGTAATCACGCAGGTCACATGAAGATCTGAGATAGAGAACCTGTCAGTGTTGTCCCCTACGAACCTTCAGCTCTCACTGTAGAGTCTGCAGAGCCGAGATCGAGTAACAAAGTCCTCACTTCGACGAGGATTCCCGATCGCTTTCGCGGTCTGTATCGTCTCCATCACTCAACACAACCTCCTAGTACCGTTATCATGAAGCTAATCACGATACGATCATATTATATTGTCAAATTCCTAATCATCACCCACCCTTGGTTACTGAGGAGAAACTATCCGTTTGTTTTCCAGAGTACACGCAGCCTCCGACACTGCGATGGTGAATTGGATCAAGTGGCTGAATTCTACGGGTATACACTACACTACATAGCTATCTATCATGGGCATTGTATCATATATTATTAAAATTATACGCAGTGGGTCGATTGATATCTCATAAGCTATATCACATTAAACACTACAATTACAATCACATATCTTGATAGGGCGATCCTCGCTTAGAGGATCGACCCTGACTTCATTTGATAACGTAGACTTGACCTCAACTTGTTTATTACAACAGATTTATTCTTCACGTCGGGTAGTTTAATTTAGACTGGGCTAACCGGTACGCGAGGAGCTTACGTGCTGTGCGCGGGCACGACGTTAAATATCATAAATAAACAGATTTCTTCTATTTTCATAACAAAAGAGAATTTGGACACTGTACGAGGTGTGGACTGGGCCAGAGAGGAGGCTGATGTGCCAGTTAGTCATAAACTCAAGTAGTAGCGTGAAACCAACACAGTTTCCTACTTCCGACAGATCGATTTTTATGCTCACATAAAATCAACATGTCCATTAAAAGTCTTCGCAAAAGATTTGTCTGGACTGTAGATAATACTTTTTTTGCACCGTAGCTAGTGGATTAAATGATCACATATTTTAATTAGAGCCTTTGACAAAGTAAACAGTGAATAAAGTATAGCGTCGAATTAGAGTTTTTAAGATAACTTGGCGAATCTCAGTCATCTCAAATTTAGATTGCTATAGTAGCGGTCCTATCCATTAAATTGCAGTAGATCCTACTGACTCTCTCCTTTCATTCCTTCAATTCCCCATTTCGGACAATACACAAGACTACATTCTTATCCTTTACACTTGTCTATGCTGAAGAGTAGCCAGATCACCTTGATTATCTTCTGACAAGTCCGACAACACATCCTATTGGCCCACGAAATAATTATATACCTTCGCCGGGTGTCATTTGATAATTGTATCAGTAAATTATACTGGCAGGAGAGAGAATCACATTTTAATTTATCACAATGCACTGCGCTTTCGCGTTCCTCTTACACACTGTGCAAAAATGGCCAGTGCCAAATCGCTTAGCTATAACGTCTAGTTACGGTTCGGAATCTCGTTACGGTATTTACCGGCCGAAACCGGGTGTCCTATTTCCGCAGCCAACTGAGGATCTCGGGATTCAAATGACTGAGAGCCATGTATGCGAGCCTGGCACGTATATTACGGCATATTGCTCAAAAGAGTACAATCCTCTTGAAATTTGGGACAGTGTTATCCATGGACTCGATAAAGTCACGGATAAGTCCCAGCTACAATTTAGCAAAACTTCTTTCAATCGAAACAAATGTCTGGAATCCATTCATTTGTTACCTTCAACCTCGACGGAACCAAATAGATTTTACCTCTCAGACATAATCCTTGAGAAGATATGCACTGAAGAAGATATTGCCCACTTAGCCTACCATGAGAAACTGTCAGTAGAAGGAAATTTCGGCACCTTTTTCTCGTCGCAAACTTCTGCCGGGCCAAGAGTTGTGGCAGATCGAGCAGTGTCGATGCGAAATATTGTTCTAAACGGAGAGATCTTCAAGAGAATCGAAGACGCAGGATTAGAGATGGCACTTGCTTGGTACCAAGGTCATTTGCACATTTTTAGTAGATATAATCTCAGGAAATATTGGTGTTTAGTCACTAGCATAGATGATGTCTCGAAAAATGGTGCTCACATCAGCAGGTATGCAGTCTCCTACTTAAATCTCTTACAAAATACACTACATATTCCTAAAACTATAGCCACACCAAATAATTTTTTAACAATAAAATTATTACCATTACTCAATCAAATCAGAGATATTTGCACGTATTTCGATCGCAATTCAAAGAGAATTGATCCAAGCAAGCTTGTACCTCGAATTACCATGGAGAATCTTGGCGGAGTCTCTCAATGTAAACAAGGCTCTCAGCCATAATCTAGTTGAGCTAAAGATTTTCTTGGATAACCTACTCCTAGCTGTAAATCAAAAGTTTCGCATCTTAAAATAAAACATATTAATCTGCAGGCTATGCTCAATGATTCAGCACTAAGATCTATTTGTCCTTAATCCTCACGAAACGAGGAGACTGATTATTGTGATGTAACTGTCATAGTTGGTATAAGTGCACCCTTGTCCGAAGTACAAGTGCTAATATGCGATACAGGGATTAAAAGGTCCCAGCACGACTTGTTACGATCAGCCCTGAGGGGGACGAAGGCTGAACACCTGTCAGTGGTGTCCTCTACGAACCTGGGAGTGAAATATTCTCCCAGAGCCGAGATTCAGTCACGACAAAGGGTGAAATTGAGAGCTTCGTCGACTTGGCGATCGGGAGGAGTGGTGTTGGCATATTTTTGGTCGAAAATCCGACTTGCAGAGATTTCACGACTGCACAGCTCAACAAAATCAACCATCTATACCCCAGATACGAACCGCAGACCGCCTATAACCTGTCTAACGTTCGTATTACAAAAACCGACACCTTCAACATCTTATTTTCTATTTCTCTGGAAAATTACTCCTAGCAAAACTCATCTCGCGGCCCTCTCAACAATCATCTCACCACCTACCTAAGCAATCCCATACCTCCAAAAGCCAAATCGCCAACTAAGAAGCAAGAGGATTTCCGACCCTCCGCAACTGCAACTGCAAGTCACTGTGAAGGTACGGTCGAAATACCGGCCTTAAATGCGTCCTCACCTCGGCCAAGGGCACCAACAACTCGGCCTACGACGAATCGCCACCGACGAAATACGTACGAAATATCGCCGGCACACCAACTAGAGCGTTCGACATAGGCTGGGGCACCGGTGCCTCGGTCTTGAGCTCTCAGTCGCGTTTTCGATCTCCACGGTTAGGGGTACGGCAGCGACGAGGCAAGGCCGGAGGGGTGGACATTCTACAAAGATTCTGGGATGACGAGATCGGCTGAAGGACAGAGGGATGCTGTATGAAGGAACCAAAAGGGAGCATAAACTGAGGAGGCCTTGGTGGGCGACTGGATGAGGCCTCCAGTAAAGAAAACGACCCCTGGATGAGATGAGAAGATGCTGAGATGAGCCAAGGCTGCGAATGAATCGAAGGGAAAATTTACAGACAGCGAAGGTGTCAAGGGCTCGGGCGCGTGGTGGCCGAGGCTGAGGAGGAATTTGCGCTGCGCCCTACATACAGCGGGATTATGGACGGTTGGGCTTGACATGATTCAACACATGGGTGAAGTCTATGGTGGTCAGGTCATTCAGGTGGGACGAGATAGATGTACTTAATGGTAGTTAACCTGATCCAGCCCGGCCCCACCCGTACTTAAGCTCCAAGAGGTGTGCAGCAGTAGTCACTTTTTTTTTTGCATCAGATTTTAATTGCGTATGCAGCTATCTAGCTATGACACAATATCAAAGAAAAGTACAGAAAAGATGACTCAGTTCACAAGAAGAGCACTCATGCCTCGGATTTCATTTGCAAGTACCACTGCGAATTTTTGGTAGCTATTAAAAACTTAGCCCTTGTATTGTGTAATGATTACTTTAAGGAGTTCTAATATAAAACATGGAGGGTAGACTTGTCTATGAAATCAACTCGTTGGAGGTATAAAAAAATCATCCATAAAAACGGATCCAACACTCGAGATTTACATCTTGAGTGAGGGTCCGTGCACTCTAACAAAACAACCCAATAACCACGTGATAAACAAGCTAATTGTACAGGGTATCTTGCTCTCCGATTCTCCTAACTCCTGGCTATACTCGCTTGACGCGTGATCCGCCAGACGTTAAATAAAGATAAATAAATAACTCCTGGCTAATGATGCCAACTCAGACCCATAATAAGGGTCATGAGGATCCTGGAATTGCAATGCATTAGACTTATTTCTCAACAGTAGCTTTTTCTTCAACCCAAGTCAACCCTCATCCGTGAATACCCACCCAGGGGAACGTCTTAAAAACCCTGAGTTATCCAGACATGCCTCCGTCATCCATCAACTTTACTCCGCGCGAAATATGATCTGAGATGTCTGCTTCCCAAGTGGAGTAGATGCCCGGGCTACTCAGACTATACCAGAGAATATCACCATGAGGCGGACCACGGCACCTTCCATCGTTTGCTTGTGTTTAGAGTGTGAGCTACACTCTCGCAAGCGAAGTTTTGGCGCGCACAAAGCTCAATCCGTAAAAGTCATGCCAAAATTCAAAATCACTCGCCCGTCGAGAATGTATCCCTCTTCTGCATCACCCTGTCAACTTGTCCTGATCCCTCTCACGTCCATCCCAAAGAACTGTCTCAAATATTTGTGCGCCACGCTTCGCTTTCTCCGTCTGGTGTAAATATCGGCGTAGGTGTGTATTTGGCGACTAGCTGAGGCCGGAGAAAAATCGACAAGAGGTGTGGTCATTGGGATGAGGATGTACTAGGTCGTTCTTGTAGACTTGATGAAGCTTAGTTGAGAATCGGACTCTTTGGGAATGAAAGATTGACATGGTGGAGTAATTTGAATTTTTGCCTCGTGGGCCAACTTCTTTGATATTGCGAAATTTGACTGAACTTGGCTCTGAGAGAATATTTCACTCCCAGGTTCGTAGAGGACACTGCGTACAGGTGTTCAGTCTTGCCATCCTAGTAGTCACTTTACCTAGCACGTTAATGAACAAACCAAATCAAGCCAAACCAGAATTACATATGAAATATATTACGTGTGTTGAAGATCAAAAGATCTCAAGTAAGAGCTTTGACTACCCTGATAATCTTGATCATCCTGGTCACCATATCCCTAGTGAGATATCAAAGCTCAAGTAAGTTAATCCGAGATGTGTCATCCCAATATCCAAAGATTCTCATTACCTTATTCAGTAGGCTCTAAGCTATCAGATGTTTGACACATCTCCTAGCTACTGAATTCCAGACGCCACTGAATCTCATGTCGCCCAGTGAAGCTTAACCATATGCAATCGGAGCAATTGAATTGATCTTGATGATTATACTTAGAAATCTTACCCTTCAGATATACTAAGTCTAGATTTCCAACATCTTGTTTGTATCTTGTCCCGTGACTTCTACTTATATACTCTCTCTCCCCGTAACTGTTGACCGTTGTTTGAGTCTTGTAGGAAACCTATCCGTTTTGTTGGGGATAATTACGGGAAGAATTAATGAAGAGGGATAAGTCAAGAGGGATAAAATGGCTGTAAAAGCTAGGAGGCCGAAGCGATGAAATGGCTTGATGATGAACAGGTCAATTTGTTAACCGATATGGGGAGAGGAAAGGCCTCCCACTAGTACTAACGGTTACTTTTAGCGGCTGATCTACTTCGTGAATCTGCTGAATAACTTTCCTCTAGGATTAATATTTGCCACTTTGCTGAGCATTATCAGGTGCCAGCAACTCGATTGCCGTTACGTGCACACAAAGTTGTTAACAAGGATTTACGCAGCTCACGAAAAAATTAGGTGTCCACTATTATAATCCACCGTGTGAATGTGATGCAAACATTTATCTCGGGAGCTTCACGTCTACTTCACAGTTAATTTGGTGTTACTGTGGGAGGCGGCACATCACAATAAGATTACTACTACGTAGCTGCATGGAGGTGTTTTAGAATACTTCAGCCCATCAATTATTTACTGACATAACAAAAGTAGCAATTCCACACAATGATGGGCCTAATCCGGGATCGAACCGGAGACCTCTTACAGTTAGGAGGACCCAAAGCAAGAATTCTACCACTGAACTATCAGGCCGCTGCTTATTTCTCAAATACATCACTACTTATACATAAAAATAGTCATGTGACACCTGAAGAAGGAGATGGGATTATAAAAGGCTTTCGTAGGCTGAATAAGCAATTGAAAGGCGGTTATGAATGAATGAATTTTTATTCGTGAGGGGCATGAGCTCTGCCCTCAAAGAGTATGACACGGAGAAGACTAGCTTCTCCGGCGACTATATACGACGACAACTCAGTTTGTCATTTAGACTACTCAATTAGTCGGTGCATTCGCTGATACCGCTCGAGATCTCGGTACTCAGGACTTTCACCCTTTCCTCAACCGTTAGTATCCACCAAAGGGAAAACAGGAAAAACCTTTGGCTACCCTGACATGCCTTTGCCGTTTTGTATATAGGCGCCGCGCGAGATATGGCTTCACAGTCCTCCCTTTCTCGAGTGAGGTAGGTGTCCAGACTACCCAGACTTTAATTCGGGGAGATGACGACCAGGAAGCGGACCAAAACACCTTCCATCGTTGCCTATTTTTAGAGTGTCGGTTGCACTATCCAAAACCGTTGTCTTTGTATTATGGTTATACTTTATGGGTTATAATTATGATACTTGAGGTGACGTGCTGGCTATAGCATGTGTGTGGGTTCGAGGAGACGCGATGAATAACTCACGCAATAAATGGAGAAAGGTAATCTAGGAGTACGTGGGGATGTGAATGTAGGTATGTGGAATAGTCTTAATGACAGGTGTGTGTGTGTGTGAACTATGTGTACTACTGATCACGTTCTAGGGAAGAGTAATGTATTCTGTACTACGGTGGTCGAGCCAGTCTCTCTTCTCTTTCCTTACAATGATGATTTTATTTATCGTGTCAGGCTTACACCCTCCCTCCAATGGACGTGACACGCATGGAGGACATCTAGAATACAAGTTCCTCCATTCTCCAGCAAAGCCCATCCGGTGCCTGACTTTTCCAAATACGTCTTTCCTTACAATTTTGAGCCTAAAATTATCATGCGTACCCCTGACTGTCCACAATAAGACTAGTGTGCTTCCATTTCATAACAGGAAGCTTAATCATCTGGACATGAACACGTGTATGTAAATAAATACCTCCAGCCATCTTCCTCTTAGTGGTTTATTCCCCCTTTCAGACAAGCTTATTTACAGGATTCGACCTAGTAAATCTCCTCCAAATCCTCTCCCTTGACAACAATGAGAAGTTATGGGCGACTAATTGAAACGTGCCGGAAGTTTTCGATGTACATCACTTGGAAATATACGAGGTTGGGAGACATAATATTTAACATAGGCGAGAATCTAATATTAAATGTCTTTCTAGTTTGAAAAAGTATTTATGGTATGACGGGCGTGATGAAATTAGAAAGTAATTAATACTTCTTGAAATAAGAAGTGAAGTCTTATTGGTTCATTAGGTTCCACCTACAAAAATCCGAGATAATTCATTAATAAGTAGCCGAAAAATCTCATTAACTTTCTCCAGTGATCTTTCCTTCTACCAATCAGTGTTGGGCGAAGAGCCAAAGATGCCAACTGCAGGTATCAGTGGCAGTGAACAGACTTCAGTATCCAAAATGGGTTTAACTAATGTTCGGAAAGTATGTTTTAATTCATTACCAAAATTATTAATTGAACCTTCAATTTGATTCTTATTTTTTTTTCCGTATGGCAAAATTTCCCAATGTTTTTTGAGCTCCCAAAATTGAGAGTTTCCAATTAAACTTGAGACAATCTGATATCCATTATCTTGCTCTTTTCCGATTTTGGTATTCAACCTCCAGTTGTCTGAAGCGATCGATTTTTCAAAAACGTGCAAATAACCGTGATACCATCCAATTGTCGACACACCCCGTTCATCGGGGGTTTGCAAGATAAAATTCCCGCCCAACAAGACATTATTTATCTCTAATGGTCTATCTGCTGTGATATAATACTTAGCAGAACTCTCTAGCGGAGCAAAGTATTTAAAATCTCCGATTACTTTTACTTTTTTCCGATAGGCCAGGCTAGCTATTTGGGCTTCACTACAATAACTTTGACCCACAAGGGATGTAATTGAAATTGGATTTTCTCCCGACATGTATTGTTGTGAATATTGAATGTTCTTCAGACATTCAGTTTCGGGATATTGATTTTGGGTTGACTCTAATTCGGAAAATTCGTTCACTTTATCATAATGTTTGGCGACAGTTTTCTTGAGTTGGTTGGTATACAACACATCTGAGCAGTATGCTGTAATATAATCGTCATAACCATAGACCCAGGTCTTGAGCCGATGTATTTTAGAATCCTCACGGAATGTAGGGAACAAATCTGGCGAACGAGTTTTGAAGATGAAATAGTTACTAGTAAGAGATTCGGTTACCATCACTATACCAGTCGATCGAAACAAATTTAGCGCCTTAGGTATCGTGAATAGCAGAACACAATGCATTGTGATGGATTATCAAGAAATAATACCCTTTCTCGCCTGTAGTTGATGCTGATACGCTTATGAAATGGTAGCTAATAAGGATATAAGATCATTTCGGGGGTCAGTGGAATCCGTTATTGGATATGTTGGGAGACAATCAAGGTGATATTTCGGGAGTCTCTCTCATAAGTTGGAATAAAGTAAATTCTGAAAAATAGATCCTCAGTCTTTATAAGACTTTTGGTCTAGAATTACCGTACTTACGGTGTTGCTTAATTTACTTGGCTTCTTTCGTACCCAATGACTCGCGCTGCGTGATTTGGCTAGCTTTTCATAAAGATAAATGAGAAGAGTACTCTTACTCCCCTGTGAAGTGTATGAAATGAGAAATTGAGGGAATCAAAAATTAAACTATTAAGATGTGTCATGATTTGCTAGATAGAAGTACTGATAGATTAATTTCAGTTTATTCGTGCTGAAATCTGCCAAGTTGTGGCTTCATTTGCCTGGCTAGTTAAAGCGCACCACAGTATCCCTTTAAATTCATAACATTATTATCTATGAATGATCACTTTACGATGACTCGCAGATCGTATTTACCATGGGCACTATTTAAAACATCCTTCTTGCAACAGTAAAGCTTATATCATGTTACGAAATGTGCCTTGGGTCACCGAGTAGCCCAATACACTAGATAGTCAGTGACTTAAGTATCGCAATAAAAACGAACCAATTAACGATAAGCAATTTCAAGCAATTAAGGACTCAGTGGTGCAAGGTACTGAAATGAGATAGCAGGGAATGTCTATAAATTATTTATATCAGGCGTGGGAGATTGAGCGAGTAGTAATGAATACATCGTGAGTGCTTTCGTTACTCTGAACCTCTCCGGGTATCCCAATCCAACTCCAACTCTGTGTCCGTACAATACATCCTTAGCTACTCAATGATGATTATTCAATACAGAGATGTCTTTTGTTACTTTTATATCCAAGTTAATGTAGGACTTCATGTGCTTTGTAAGCTACCACGATAATGAAGAAATTTGAGATATTAAAGCCGATCTCTACAACTTGTAGAAGTAGAGAAGAGAGAATATAAACCCTATACTTGTATTATACATACCAAGAAGCCTTTTACTTCATCATGAATGGGGATTATTAAATTGGCATGACTCAATATCAAGGAGCCTTCTCATGGCGACATAAGTTAGCAATGAAGAGATCGGAGTGCATAACCTAAAATTACTCCCTCAATGTACGGGGAGTCAATTTACAACTTACACCGTGGTATTCTAATTGTGAAAATGTGCGAAGAAGCCTGTCGCCAATTGTTCTGAAAATAAAGCACACGTAACAAAGGTTCAGCAAAGCGAACAGGATGACACCCAGCAAAACGGCATTCTCAATTGCGGCAGGTGTATGGGTAAACAAGAATCTGATTGCACTATCAGACTGCAAGACATATCTCCAAGCCATCCAACTCCTTCTTTGCTTTCACGACGTAAAATCTACCACCGGTCAGGTGCGACAGTTAGCCTCCCGTATCGAATTTGCAATTTATTTTACCAATTATTGTGTTACTGTACAGTGCCTCTAGCATATAAAATTTTAACCTCAAAACTGGGATGTTTAAGAGATTAGCCCTGTAGGCGCAGTGAGGCTAGCTCGTAATAGGTTAGTATGTCTCTCCTCATTACCCCGCTCGCCATGAAGTATGGTCCAATCGTCTTGTTCTAACAATTGCTCAAAGAGACACATTTACAACGACATCTTTGACTGCACAACTCTTCATCATCAACACCACTATCAATTCATCCTCTATTCCGGCAAACAATGTCTCTCGAAAAGTCTGCTTCAGAAACTAAATGTCTGCAGGCATCTAACTCGCGATCAATATATTGAAATAAGAACATTAAGAAGACTTGGCTTGACATTACAACATATATCCGACGAACTTGGCTTCTCAAGAAGGCAAGTGCAACTTGCGTGTGCTCGAGAGACTGAGAATTCTATATCTTGCAATGGATGCTCACCTAAATTAAGCGCGGAACAAGTTGATGAGCTTGAGGCTTTCGTCCGGGAATCTCATGAAAATCGACAGATGTGCTATTTGGAACTGGTAATGGGACCCTTCAGCCACTCGGGACGCAATGAGCATTAACTTTCAAACGCCCTCAATAAAATGGGTTACAGCAGATGTATTGCTCGGAAGAAGCCTCTGTTAAGTGTGGTCAACATGCACAAAAGATGTATAGCGGCAATAAAGGAAAATGGAGGGTACACAAAGTACTGGGACGGAGCAGACTAATACAAAACATGTAGTACGCTTTCAATTTAGTTGCGAGCCACACTGAGGGCTTCGATGTATAATTTTATGATACAGAGCAATTATTTTTGAAATAGATGTACTTTTAGATAATATCAATTGATTTTTTTAATTTTTAAATTTAAATGAGGACCATTATACTTTTCCTTTCGAGTTGAAACCGTCCCCATTAATTTTGACTTTCACGGAATATCGTTGGATAGTACCCCTGCTTGCAACACTAGTCAACGAACTAGACATGGGCCTTCATGAAGACTAAGCCAATCTAATCAATATGTACAGGGATTAAACCCCAGTCATTTGTAGAATTGGACTTTTGATACCCTTAAGAGACTGTAATTATAAATGTGGGACTGCCAAGCCAGACCCAGAAAGTCCGGACCGGTGACCGAAGAGCAGCTCGCGTGGATCCGTCACATCGAGCAAGGGAAGCTCGCGAAGGTGACACGAGCTGGGGCTGCAGCCAAAAGGGCTGAAGAGGCGCTCATCGCCGCGGCAAAGACGAAGTATTCACCTTTCAGTGGTGCCGGTGTAATCGCTCAGTATGCCCTGCATATCTGGGATAGCCAAGAAGAATCGCATCCGAATTGAAGTCGAAAGCAATCACAAGCACATCTAAAATCGACGACTTCCCGTCAATAACGGATCTATCGATCAACCATACATCGCAATACTCATTACCCTTATTTACAAGAATCTTCAATCGGTGCAATGGCCCCAGCTGTTGCATCGTCATCGACAACGCCCTCCAATCCAACAGGGCAACTTCACCCAAACCTGCTTGGCATTGTGAATACGATGCAAAAAGCAGAACAATAAAGAAAAGAAAGATTGGACACAGCCCAGGAATTTCTTGAACTAATCGACTCCTGGACTAAGAGTAAAGGAGAGAAGCGAGCAGCAGCAGTTGTCGCGACTCTGCTGGAAAACATCACGCCTGTTATCACTGCCTTCGCAGTAGATCAAGCAGAAGCATCTAACTTTCCAAGTAAGAAGCCCCCCACCATGGCAAGCACTCCAAAACCAGTCGCGCCTAGGAAAAATACAGCTGTTGAGGATCACAGCCGCGCTCTATCACCAAAGCCTCAAGACATCAGCTCGCCCTGGGTGACAGTAGCCCGCAAAGCGGCCAAGTTACCAACACCACCAAATGTGCAAGTTCCGCTAAGGCCTGCTCCATCAAGCCACCCGAAACCACAGACAACCCAAAATGAGGACAAACGCCTGTTCCTTCGATTGGAGAAAGATCACCACTGGCACAAGCTCTCGCCAGTTACGATCAAGAAAATAATAACTGACAAGGCTGGGATAGCAGCCTCAGCCATCACTTCCATGTACTCAGTCAGGTCGGGGATCGCTCTCGAATGCGCATCAGATGCATTGAGAGATACAGTCAAGAGGGTTGCACATTCCCTACAGGAAGACAACACCGTGATTGAGAAAGCGTCCAAATGGACATCATAGATCGTACCTCATGTGCCATTGTACATTAGGACGCTTGAAGGCAGCATCCCAGTCACCAACGATATGGTGAAGAACGAGTGCCAGGCTGTATGCGGCGCCACACCAATCCAGGTACGGCCCACAGAAACAAAACTTGGCCAATACTCCACGAGCTGGATTGTTCATTTCCAACAGAAACCAGCCAACACCAAGTACCGTCTCTTTGACGAGAGCGGACCAGCAATTCCCTTCTCGCGCCGAAGACCAGTCGAGCAATGCCAACGTTGCTGGGGATTCCACACAACGCATTCATGTACCCGGAGCCAACGATGTGGGAGATGTGGGGGAACCCATGAGATATCAGAGTGCCAGGCAAAGGTGTCAAAGTGCTCTAATTGCGCCGGACCTCACCACTCAAATGAGGGCAGCTGTATGGCCCGGCCAAGACGACAAAACGGGATAATTCTGCCCCGTACCCCGGCAGAACTTCACATCATCAGAGAACGCGGACATCGTGATTATCACGCTGCTCTAGCGTACTCAGAAAGGAAGGGTAAGGCGGTTGAAACCGTCATTGCCCAGGACTCAACAATGTCGTGTTAATGTTAGGAAACCCCTCAACAAAAGCACCAAAAGACAAGTACAACACCGTCCACTTTCACCAAGTGAATGTCGGAAGAGAAGGGGAAAACACGGATATAGCATTGCAGCAGGCATGGGATGCCGGTGCACATGTAGTCATGGTACAGGAACCATGGACAAGAAAGAAAGAGGGGGGTTTTATAACAAAAAGTCACCCTGGCTACAATAGCCATATACCATTCGGAGGAACAGAAATCCGGCCCCGCGCGATAACTTTCACGCGCAAAGGTAGTCATGCGACTCAACTATTTCCACCGTTGTCAGGCCCGACATCTGACTACTGTTTTGTAAATATGGGCAGCCTAACCTTTGTCAACGTATACCGTGCCCCAGGCACTATTGGAACCTTGGAGCCCCTACTCCGGTGGGAAATTAAAGGTCTAGTGATTGTTGGAGGCGATTTCAATTCTATGTCACAGCATTGACAACCGCTAGCAACAAATCAGTACGGCAACGGTAACCAGATTATGGAATGGGCAACAGCCCACGACATGGACCTAGTTAGCATTGTTGGAGAGCCAACGCACAGGGATGGGAACGTCCTAGATCTAACGTGGAGCAACACGGCCGCTATAGCATCCGTGTCCAACCGCTACCACTGTACCTCA